ATAGATAGATAGATAGATAGATAGATAGATAGATAGATAGATAGATAGATAGATAGATAGATAGATAGATAGATAGATAGATAGATAGATCATCATCGTCTGTTAGGGTTTACAGCAGCGCCCTCGTGAGGTCATACTGCGCAGGTACAGTTTATTAAGTCGAATTAAACATATTTTTTCTCTAAATTTCCCTTTAAAGTATTAAAACTCTGCCAGGTTGAAGACATTTACCAAACGGCCAAGCTTTTATTTACTTAATAACTGTAAACAAAACATTTTTTGGTCATTTTAAAAATAAGGTAAGTTGGAATAAGTGAGGAAAGCAATAAAATACAATAATAGCTGCTATTAAAGTTATATATTCGTTACTTAGCTTTATTTCCATTTTAGAAGATGTCCAAAATGATAAAACATTCATTAACTTGATAATTATTGGTTGGAGCACTTTTGTGATTTTGTTTCAAACTGTATTAAAGTCGTTATGACCAGAGGAGGACCCTCCGCCCCACATCTTTAAACTTCTGTCCTTCTGCCACGTTTTTCCTCCTTTTCAAAGAAACCAGGGACACTGGGAAGCTGTCCTGCAACCTGATTGGTCCATTTACAAGAGAGCCCGCCTTAAGACCCACCTCTGACTCGTTTCTGGGCTTCTGATTGGTCGAAGCAAGAATCCGTCACGGTAACTATGGACTTCGGCTTTGCTGGTATCCAAGTGAAGACGTGTTTTTTGGGGGGGAACTGGTCGTTTCATCACAGAGAGGCTGAATACTTTTAGCTTCAGCCACTTTCTGGCGGGTTGGAGGTTTATTTTGTTGCTGTTCTGCAGGAAGACAAACACCAAGGAAGCGAAGAAGAAATGGCGCAGAGAAAGAATTCCAAAAGTCACTCTAAAAAAGGTCAGTTTTTGGGCCTATTTCGCTCTGTTCTGGGAGCGCGATGCGCGCCTCCGTACGAAACTTCCTTAGATAAGTTGGTGATTTTAAGTTGCTTATTTTAAAACGATTGCATAAACATAAACAAATACGTTAATCGATAATGTTCTTTAGGTTATAAAACTCTTTATTTCGGCGTTTAGTTCTTTCTCGCAGAGGTTCGAGTTATTGTTTTTCCAGGCTAAAACTCTTCGCTTATTGGGGAGAAGAACAGTTTAAAAACACTTGAGACTTTAATGAAAATGTTTGAATTTTTTGATGCTGTTGACACCGAATTACTGTAATTGTTTTATTTTATGCTGTTCTTGTCGCAATTCCTATTTTATGTTCTTTATCCGCGTCATAATGGAGATTTTCTAAAATCAGACGTTTTTTGAACGGTGTTTGGTCGGGCGCTAAGCTAGCGTCGCTATCCTGTGTTTAGGCTGCAAAATCCCGGTTAGCAACCAATCAAAAATGGATTTTGCGCTTTAATAAGGCGGGATATATACACACAAACCAAACATGAAGCTTTTTAATGATGCAGAATAATTTAATATAAAGGGAAAAAAGCAGATATCTGTTGTAAACATGTCCAGAGGGGCTGGTGACCCTCATTCACAGGTTTGCTGCAGCATCAGGATTTCCTGTGATGTGATTCCTCTGGTTTTCTTTACTATATCGGAAATCCTTCAATAAACACTGATCCTTATCATATTAAATTATTTAGATATAAGTCCTGATGGGGTAAGGAAGTCTGTTACTCTCTACTTTCAGGACATTTCTATCAGTAATTGTCTTCTTTATGTCTGAAATCAGAAAAAAAGGTCCAAAAAAACCAAATCTGTCTAAAATCAGATTTCCTGATTCTGCTCTGAGCTCTAAACATGAAGCCATCCTGATCCTTCAGGCTGCTGGGCTGAAAAAGGAGAGAAGCTGTGGTTCCTGCTCCATTTGACTTTCTGACCCCGTTTACCCTCATGTGTCGTGGGAAAAAAGTATTCAACCATTCAGTCCAGTTAAATAACCTGAGACAGATGGATTTCACTCATTTATTATATCTTTGCAAAGAGAGAACAGTTCATCATACGGCCCTTATTGAACGGTAATCAGCCCTGTTCAGTTTGTTCCCCTTTAAGAGCAGATTAGACTTCTGCAGCCGCAAACATCAGATGTCGCTTGGTTCTGGTNAAAGAGCAAAGAAACATAAAACATGATAAATGTAGGTAGTATAATAAACCTTAAACTAAACGGGTTATCTCCGTCAGTCAAAGGCAGCTATAACTAACGGGTTTTTAACTCTGAATTTAAAGAATTCAGGCTTTCAGCTCTTTTCCAATCTACTGGGAGTTTGATCCAGATCCATGGAGCATAGATGCTGCTTCTCTGTGTTCTACCTAACCAGCACGTGAACAGGAGAAAACTGGGGTTAAACAAAAGGGCAGCTCGCCCCTACAAAAACCATCTAAACAGGTTAACATGGCAGAATGTGAACAGCCCATTAGATGCAACAACAACCACAGAGGTGTACAGCACGGCTTTAGGTGATCACTGATTGGGCTGAGACTCAGGAAGCAGCTTCCAGTCTTAGAGGCGGAGCCTAAAACAGAGCAAGGTGGGTGCAAAAAAACAAAATGATGTCCATCTTTGGGATGTAACAGCTTAGAGATTATTTCTACATCCTATAAATGGACCTTAGGGGTCGCTAGCGTCACTTACAGGAACCGAGGACGGTCCGAGCACGGTAACCGAGATAACTGTTGGTGTAGACGGCACGCTTGCTGAACCGGACCGCGCCAGACACAACCAAAGCGCGCTAAACTAGTACTAGTTCAACAGCAGGGCTCAGCGCGGTTCAGTGTACGGAACAAGGTTAGAATTCTGACTTTTTATCTCAGAATTCAGATTCTCTTTCTCAGAATTCCAACATTTTTTTTCTCAGAATTCCAACATTTTTTTTCTCAGAATTCCGACGTTTTTTCTCAGAATTCCGACGTTTTTTCTCAGAGTACCGACTTTTTTTCTCAGAATTCAGACTTTTTCCTCAATGAAAGGTTTCAGAGGGTAGTGGAAATGGGGCCCATCTGCCCTCTGACCCCTGGGCTCCTTCCTCCGTGGATCTGTCCAGACTTTATCCGCACAAACTCTGGTTAAACCGAAAGCTGTAAAAACGACTGAAATTGCTGCTATGGAAATGTTAACCTTGTGCCCTGAATCCACCTGGATGGACCTGGTTCAGTCAGAACCAGATCGAGGCGGACCTGGATCAGGTTTAGCTTCGTAAAAAATGTTCTTAAAACAACCTTTGGATATTAGATTAATTGAAAATGAATTGATTAGCAAAATGATCATTAGTTGCAGCCCTAGTTTCTACCCAACATGATGCAGCGTAGCTGTGAGGTCACCTTACCGTGGCTGCAGGTGGATCAGAGAAACATCTCTGGATGAATCTGATTGATTTAATATTAAGGGTAGAAATGATCATGGCCTCTGATATAGAAAAAAGGGATTATTTGTTAAACAGGTATAATCTGGGTGTAGCATAGAATAAAAAAATAAAACCACCCCAGGAGGGGTCCTTGAGGGGCCCCATGGGTCCAGGAGCTGCAGCTGAGGAATGGGTCTTTATCTGGATGGATGGAGGGCCATGACCTCTGACCTCTGCTGCAGCGTGATGCCTAACAGGATATTTCTTCATTCAGCTCTTCCTTTAATCTCCTGCTTTTATTAGAATTATATCTTAGACTAGATTAATATTAAACAAGTGTAGAAGACGGATTTGGTTTTATTTCCCTCTGAAGAAGAGTGAACCAACCTGGATCGGTCCCGTTGCCGGGGGAAACGGGTCACAGCAGAGCAGAACTTAGCGTAAATGGGAAGAGTAAAGATGTCAGAGGTCCATCGGACCTGAACGGAACCATCGGTCCGTTTAGAAAGGTCCGACCGGGTCTTTGAGCAGCACAGGTTGACAGCAGCGTCTTCATGTCTGCAGAGGGAAAGACGGCTCCTCCGGAGCAGAAGAACGGGAAGAGGAGCGACGGAGGAGCTGCAGGAGGAGGTGCAAAGTTCTCCGTGTTCACCTGGGTGGTGGTTCTGGCCCTGCTGGGCGTGTGGAGCTCCATGGCTGTGGTCTACTTCGACATCGTGGACTACGACAACGTCATCGGTAAGAAAAAGATAAAGAGACCTTGGTTCTGCTTGGTTCTGAAGAACCGGATGTTCTAGTCCTGGGAAAACCGAGTCCACCAGGCGGTCCAGTAGAACCTCTTTGGACTTTGACTAGGCCAGCAGACTGGTTCCATCCTGGGCCTCCTGCTCCTGATGGTCCAGGCGGCTCCTCCGTCTGAATCCAGGTGGACTCGGTTTTTTCCCGGACCGTCCAGATGTTCTGTGGTCAAACATTCCTGCTGCTGACCTTTAACCTCCTGGCCTCTTCATCCCTCCCCTCTGCTCCTCTTCCTCTGCATGCAGCGAGGGCTCAGGAGTTCCGCTGGAACTTTTCTGAAGTTCTGCAAGGTATGAAACCTTCCAGCATCCATGTCACTCTGTCAGAGGTTCTGTTTGGATCAGAACCGCTGGTTCTAGGTGTCCGTCTGAGACCGTGTTGGATCAGAACCGNATTTCACTCATTTATTATATCTTTGCAAAGAGAGAACAGTTCATCATACGGCCCTTATTGAACGGTAATCAGCCCTGTTCAGTTTGTTCCCCTTTAAGAGCAGATTAGACTTCTGCAGCCGCAAACATCAGATGTCGCTTGGTTCTGGTTGCGAACCAGTTTTGCTGCTATGCTTCTGCACCGTCGCTCTGGAATTTCTCATATTGTGGAAATCTAAAGGATCTGAGGCAGGAAAGAAGAAGGCCTTCTGGAGGGACTGGAAGCACATCAGGATCTCCAAGGTGGAGCTGAGGAGCGTCGCTGTGGAAAACCTTAAACCATTTCTTTTAGCGAATGAATATCTGTGTTTTATTTAACTAATCTAAACCATCTCTGCTGTCATGGCAGCTCAGCGATTACCCAGGAGCCTCAGTGGCTGATGATAAAATCAGCAGAGAGACGCATCCCTGCAGCCTTGGAGGAGGACTTGAAGGTTTTCCCTCTGCAGCAGCGGGTTACATGTCTGCAGCCGTGACCTGGTGTCACATGAACACGGAGCACTGAGTTCCCCTTTTATCAGGCCTGCAGGAGGAAACCACATCTAGACCCAGCAGCAGCAGCAGCAGCGTGTCGCCTCTAGCTGGGTTTCTCACCTCCAGAGGTGAGGAATCAGAGGAAGTGTCGCTGCTGCGGCCGCTGCTCTCTGTTAGCTCCGTTTTTAAAAATAAAATGCAGCCGCTTCACGTTTCACCTTAAAAGGCTGTTTAAAGGCTCCCAGTCCTCCTTCGATGCAGCGTTATTATGGTCAGACGTTATTTTTCACACCCGTTCATAAACGATGGGGTGGTTTCTAGAATCCGATGATCTACATGTCGGGTTAAAGCTGTGGAACCCTGGTACGGTGATCCAGGTTAGAGGCCAGCATGGCAGAATCCGCCCGCCCGGTCCGACGGTTAAGCTTTAAACACGGCGTAGCCTGATTCTAAATAACAGCATGAGGGGAAACGGGTCAGAACTGATCAATTCTATTCAGTTTATTTCTATAGCTCCAATTCCCATCATGTCATCTCAGGTCACCTTCCAGTTCACCAGATCCTCAGGTTGTTACAGGACAGAGACATTGCTTGGAGTGGGCTTAAGTCGTCGGCACACGATGGCATCAGGAAAATTAACCCCCGAATATCTCCTGCTCCTTAGCGTTCCTGTCAGGACCTGACACGCCATCCATGCCCTGACCTCCGTTCCTCTTGCTTCTGCGCCTCAGGATCACATCACATTCTTTATCAGTCTGGCTCCAGTCTGCATCGTTATCCTGTGCTTGTTGTACAGACCGTCCTCGTTAGATAGCCTCCGTACCCACAGTGTGATCCACCATGTGAAGGAAGGCCGTCCACCCCAGCTAATCTGGCTAACAGATAGCTAACACACGACTAATAAAGAATGAACCTAAAACTAAAATGGGAATAATTTGTCATTAAAGCTGTTCAGGGTTAACCCTGAGACTAAGATACCTTTTCACTAAAACCTTTCTCATTGTTAACACCTTTCTAAAACGGGAA